GACACTGACTTTGACGGCGACCGTCAGTGTCTGACGGAGACACTGACTCACCCACCAAGCCGCCATGCCGGACTCAGTCGCCGGTCGGAAGACTTTTTACAATCCTGCGTGCCAATAATTTTTTGGTGCCTTGGAGACACGCAGCGTTTAAATAAAAGCCAAATATTTTTTGCAGCAGGAACATTTTGTCCCACAGGCCACCGTCGGTGGACATCTGAGGGGGAAAATCCTGCGTGTCAATAATTTTTTTCTGTTATGTGCACGCTGCGTGTACATAACGTCCAATTTTATTATTTAAACGCTGCGTGTATATAATATTAGTCAATGTTTATTACTAAAACTAAAGCCAAAAGGTGCAATAATGAAATTACGAGAAAGATACGGGAATAACTGGAAAAATAGAGAGAAGATTGTCAAAAGGAAACCGCCAAAATTTAACTACAAAGAACCGTCTAAGTCCAACTCTATCAAGGAAACTACAATTACAACAACAGAAACTACAATCTTACAGAAAATTTCTACAGAAGTACTGCCACCCGGGCATAAGGGATACTCAACAAGAACGTCCTCAGGGTTGAAGTTGTCCAATTCACCCTGAAGAAGGTTCACCCGGGCTTGGGCACGGGCAAGGTCCACCTTAGCATTCTTCAAAGAAGCCTCCAATGCGAGCCGCTCAGCTTCCAGGGCAGGGTTGCCGCCATAGCACTTCCGCTTGGCACGGTCACACCTCCGGCCTTTCACCATAGTGCTGATGCAGTCACCCCAGAAGCAGCGCGCCAGCTCGCAGTGAAACCCCATCTTGTTGTACTTCTCTTCGCCAATAATTTCTCGGTACAAGGCCTCCGCACCGCACCCTCGGAAGGCTCATGAAACTCCACAACAACTCCTACGTGCGGTGTCCGTTGAACCGTGGTGTGTGCGCGCGCGCTCCGAGCGAGTCGACGTGTATGGTGCGCCAGTGCGCGCCGAGACACAGTCGAAGCTTCTGGAACTTGCAGGAACAACTCCCCTGCTGCCGCGCCCCTGCCTCACGAACGAGTCCTGTCCGCTGGAGGAGTCTTCCCGAATTCCCGGTCCATCTCGAGACGCCCCGCATCCCGCTTCCCTGCCACGCTGCAACTGGCCCGAGTGGTCTGCAGAAGTCCCTGGCTGACCCGCCGATGGATCTGACCTGCGCTAAGTCTGCTGTCCACGCTACGACGCTTCATCGAGACGTAAGGGAGTATGGGGCGATTTGTAACAGGGGCGATTCGTAACAAATGCGTTTATTAATTTAAGTGGAGGGAGCAGAGGAAAATCTGAGTATGGCCCCTCTTTCGCTTCAAGTAGAGGGTCCTTGAACAATCGAAGCGGATGTGATCGGTGCTCAGGTATAGTTTTTGGGGGGCGTCTGAAAAATAGGGGACACCGAAAACAGGCAAATCTTTTATTTTGAGTTCAAAGAAGTTTCTGTCAGAGGCTCCCCCGGTATGAATCACCATCGAAGTACCGTTGGGGCCTCGAAGCTTGACCCCTTTGCAATGTAACCACTGGCATAAATTGCTTTTACTTTGTCCAGTGATAGTTAGGGACGTATTTCTCGCGTAGCCGGCTTTGGGGTGATTCGTAACAGACCCGTATAAAACAAGAATTTAAAATAGTTTTTTTCAATAAAAAGCTTGAATTTTTTCTCGAATCATCTGCTGCCTAATTCCAATCATTTACACAGCTAAAAAGCATTTTAAAGCGAGTTATTCTATTCTTTCCTCCAAATTGAAAAAAGTGAGGTTAGGGTTGACATAGCCGGCCAGTTTAAAGCTGAGGCGGTCAACGGCAGCTTGTAATGCAGATTTTTCGGCGTCTGCAGGACGTCCGATGAACAACGCTGGAGGAGATAACATTCCCGACGATGTTTCATTTAATGTGTAGGATGTTATAAAACCCCGGCTGTTACAAATCACCCAGCTGGGGCGATTCGTAACAGCATGCAAGGGTTTGGAAAGCGTCTTAGATTTCAAAGATTACGGACTCCAGATTGATCGCATAGAGCTGCACAGTCTAGATGAAGGGCCAGACTGCTCAACTGGCACAAGTTTGACACCGATATGCAGAATGTTCTTAATTTTGTATAGAGGATTCCAAAAATCTGTTACAAATCGCCCCATACTCCCTTACTTCCCGGCCCTTTTCAAAAAGGGGGGGTAGTGTAGTGATGTTGGCACCCCGTAGTTGGCGGCCGTGCGCCTCCTCTGTTGCTATGACGACCATGACTGTTACCCGCGGTCCCTACCCTGTCCTGAGCCTCTCCTAGACTATCAATACATCCTCCATGCTGACCTCTGTGCCCTCCTTCATGCTGCCCGAATCCCCGAACCCTCCATCCTTACAGAGTTGGGGGAAGGCCCTCAATCAATACAATGGTGGACGTGAGATCATTGACTACAGAAGTTGCAGCTGAATCCTGTGGTGCTGCTACCAAAACACGTAATAATCGTCTGTCATAGACGAAAGGGCTCTAGCTCTGCAACCCGCCTTGCAGTATCAGCATCAATGTACTGGAAAGAAAAATTTCAAAAATTAATTATTCCATTAAAAAATGAAGTGAAGTAGAACATTGAAGCATTACCAGCACATTGCATGAGTTTTCAGCTTTATTGTAATTTAAAACAGCTACCAGAGCAATTTTAGTGTGATCCACCAAATAATCAACAAAATGTGCCTGAAACAAGAAAAACATGTGAATACAGTTTCAAGAGAAAGGACAGGTAAGATTCCATCATGCATCACCACATTACCTCTTCAAAATAGGCTGGCAGATTTTCAATTCTCAACATGTTTGAGGCTATTCTTTTGAATAGCTCAAATCTGAGCTCCTTTTTGCCACTTGAGTTGTCATATTCTATTCCTGACAAGCTGGCTAGCAATTTTGCTGATCCAGCATCAATGAGCTGAAGATAAACACAAATTTTATTAATGACACCCAGTATTTGAATGAAGTAGTAGGGTTTTGATGCTAATAATAATAATAATCACCTCAACAGTGCAGATCAAATCAGTCTCATCAAGTTCCATGACATTCTTCACACCCACTTTGACATCAGTGGGATCTTTCTCAACCAATTTAATATTGAGGAATCGCTTTAAATCTTCCTAAAAAAACCCTCAGATTATGAAAGAGGACACAACATTCATGACTACCCTAATCGGGGGGTCCTATTCAAAAGATGCGTCCCCCCACCACCACCAAATAAAAAATCTTGTGTTAAACGCAGGCGCATTTCACTCAGTTTGATCATTTGGGACGGATACAAGAGTAAGCGGAATATATTTCTACATGCACTAATGGTTTCTTTGATCTTTCGTCTTCAGATTGAAGTGAACTAAATCACAAATTATACTGATTTGTAGCTGTATCAAATGATCAAACTGAGCGTTTAAGATAAGATTCTCTTAGGGGAAAGCCCTGATAAGGTCTATTGAATAGGACCCCTAAAATTTGCCCTTGCATATTTACCTCCTGTGTGAAAAATAGAAGATTGAAAACTTTGACCATCAGAACACCATTACTAGTATCTGCATTGCCATCATCGAGAACTCTCTCGTGGGACATCATAACATGTTTGAGGTCGAAACCAATGGAGAGATTTTCGATAGATGTGAAGAGTGTCGCGATGTTGACATTCAGAAACTGTAACAATAGGTTATAAGAGTCAAAGTTAGACGACGTACATGTTCTCATACTATAACTCCCAGATACATGCATGATAAGAAGAACATTCAAGTTCTCACCTCCACATCAAAACCATTGACCATAACATCTGATGGTTCTATTTTGGTCACAGCCATTGTGCCAGGTGGCGCAATGGAATACAGTTCACCTGTATCGTTCAAAAAAATTTCCAATTCCCCCTGAAATAGTGCAACAAAAGAATTAAATCAATATCATCGAAATGAACTTGGAACATCCACATACCAGCTGTAAACGAATCTAACACTCCAGCCCAGTTTTTTGGTCCCAGCATTTATCTAAACCGTTCATTTGAGGGGGCATAGAAAGAAAGACAAGCTCCACAAAATACTTGAACTGTTTTGGCGGTTTTGCAGCGCTTCGGGCCTTTTCGTTTTAATTAGAAGATTGACCTCCTTTTGCAAATCCAACACAGCAGGGCGATAGAGAATTGAATTCTGGGTTGCTTAGTGAGGTTGACAACGCTGAGAAACCTATTTCAAACTGTGCTTTTAACCTCCAAAGTTGCAAAAATCAATTTTGGACCAAAAATGGAAATTAGTTTTTGGATCGGCATTTCTGCTACAGACGTCGTATTGGCGTTCCAAATGTACCATGCAACCCAGAAAATAGTGGCCAACAATCGGCTCGCTGTATGTATGGACCTAAAACGAACGGAAATAACTTTTTTAGTGAAAGGGAAACCTTGAAGTCGGCTGTCTGGTGCCGTAAATTTGGATTCCAAATTGATTTTAGAACTGTTTTACATATCCAAAAGTCCATTCCATTGTCACACACGGATAGGAAATTTTGCGTAGAATCTAAAAATGACCTCGTTTACTCAGTTTGATGCAGTTTTGACAAAGTTCTGTTTAATTTGGTTCGGCCGCGCGGCCCAGCCGCCCGTCCGCTCCTTGCCGGCCCGAGCGGCGCGCATAGCTTCACGCGCGCACTAGGCTGTTGCCACCCCCTGAAGCAGGGCGTAAGAATTTCTGACCTGGCTTGAGTGCGCTTGGCTTCAAGCGTAGCTCTTCTTACGCTTGAAGTCAAGCGCAGGAGTACGCTTCAAGATTTTACGCTTGAGGAAAGGCGTAATACTACGCCTGAGTTTTACCAGTGAAGATAGTAGATCAGCAAAAATAGGAATGATTGATCTTTTAAGTACTTATGCAGAAAAATCAGTGTGTCGTATGCCTAAGAAAGCGCCACCTTCACTGTTAAAAATTATGTTGTAATTTAGCAGTAAATATGTCGCTAATTTTCTTAATGATCAAAGTTGTTTTTAAATGACTTTCGTTGTTTACTAACGAGTTCCGTCGTTCGTCCACAAGATGTTTGTTAACCGGTAGACAGCCTTATTTGCATCAATTTTTATTGCCGGTTAGGTCACAGACCTAGTAGAGTCCCGGTTACCCCGCAGTAAACACTTCTTAGATTGTCCGGGTGTTTGTACGCAGCAAAATAATGTTTTGAAACAGCATAAGTCATAAAAATAATTAGCAACGAATTCGTCGTTTTAAAACAAGCAAACTTGTTCACAAACAACAGCGTTGTCGAGGTTGGTAATTGTGTTGTTGTTTTAAAACAATAATTTTTAACAGTGTTGGTTAGAGACGGGGCAGTCGAATTTTCACATCTTGTCCTCGACATCGATAACTCTTACACTGCGAAAAAAAAACACAACTAAAGTACACAAATTTCTGGTAAATTTTTTATCAGGAATTTATTGTTCTTTTAGAGTACAATTGTTTTCCAAAGTACAATGGAATCGGCATGATGAGTGCTGTGCAGTCCAGGCCCCGTTGTGGTTTGCACAATTCTCGTTGTACTTTTGTTGTACTATTCACCTTTTTATTGCAGTGTGCTGCCTCCATGACTTTCATGGCATCGTTGTACACTTTTTATGGACACCGCTTCCATGGTGGCACGAAATGACCCCTCCATCAGGACAGCCAACAAAACTATTTTGGGATAAAAACAACAATACCTGCAAACGTGAAAGCAACGAGTTACAATTTCATGAACCAGCTGTACATGTTAAAAAATGGTTGTACAGAAACAATCAGATGAGTGAAAATTTAGTCGTTCCAAA